CACACTTGAAAAAATGGGTCACATTTTGAAAAATGGGTCACACTTACAAAAGTGTGTCAGACTTGGAAAACTTGCTCAAACCTGAAAGCTCGCGGCAAACTTGAAAAAAGAGTCAGACATAGAAAAATGCGGCACACTTTGAAAAAGGGGTCACAAAACCAAACCAGAGAAGTGTGCAGTTACAAAATTCGAAATAGTTTTCTATCATCAGGAAAGGTCGAGAAATCACTTTCAAAGACAAAATACGTCTTGCCCGCGAAGGAGGAAAGCTTGGGAAAAGTCTTACTGCAGCATTAGCCAATAGACAAAGATATTACGTGCTTTGTCTTAGGAATTGGATATACCAATTTCAGGGCAAAATTTGCTTCTTTTCGCATCTATAGTTGCACGCAACTGGTGGAGTTTTATTTTCATGATCATTTACATGGTCTTCAGAGAATATTTCCTGGGAAACTTCCGGTTGAGTTGAGGATGCATTTGTAAGAAGGGCCGCCAGAAAGCAACGACGAAAAGTTTCCAGTTTTCTTTTAACTTAATCGTAATGGTGTGAGTTAAAGTAGAATTACATTTTGATGATCGGTGCGGCAACCACATAGCTTTCCAGCGAGAAACTAAGATAACTCAAACTGAATGCAAAAGTGAAACGTTGTTAGGATTGTGATAGAACCGCAATTCAAACAAAATTCATTGCATGTTTTAGCTACCGGAATATTAGCCAAAAAAGGTGCATGATGGCGTACGAAAATAAGGCATAAAAGCGCTTTTCACTCTTCATTTTGTTCAAGCGCAAAAGCTCTATGTTTGAACGACCAATTTTAATATTAAAGTTCCCATTCCTGGAATCCAAAACATTACTCTGAGTAAGCGCGCAACAATTTTCTTTTAAAGAGAAATTTTTGATAAGTGCAACTTGTTACGTTATCAAATTCTTTATTCAGAAATTTCAGAAATTTCCAAAATTTGGAATAACGTTTACACAAGTGGAAGAACAAAATTTCCAATTTTCCAAAGGTACAATCACATTGCAGAAGTATTTCGATCATTCTAAGCTCAAAGTGTTGTCATCTGTTATTTCAGAGAAATTAAATTACATCATAAATACATATACATTTTTATTATAACTCGGCTCTGCGAAGGCTTTAATCAGCAATATTAGTGGATCGTGAATGTCCTGCGGACAGCTTAAAAATAAACAATCTGGCCGCGCTGATTTTACTGGCTTACAATTAAGGATTTGAGATATAGTGAAATATCTTAAATGGTGGTCGAAATAATGAAAGCCACCCGTTCTGCTACTTTTTTTGTATTTATCAGTATTATTTTTGACTGCAGATAAATGAACATTGGCCTGGAAAACTTTCTCAGACCTTTGATAACTTCCTAATCGCCTATACGTGGTAGTTTTACCAAACGTGTGTAGGTAAAGGTAAAGTCTGCATACGAGCCAAGTGGCCCATCAGTCCGGAACTTTTCCCGGTTTCTGTAACATGAAGCGACTAGGAGTATTTCTACTCCTCCCTGGATGGGATGCTAGTTCATCGCAGGGTTACCATCAGCATTAAGTTCGCCGGTACCCATTTTTACACCTAGGTGGAGAGAGGCACTGTGAGAGTAAAGTGTCTTGCCCAAGAACACAGCGGAATGTCCCAGGTCAGTGCTCGAACGCAGACCGCTCGATCCGGAAACAAGGGCGACTAACAATGAGGCCACCGCGCCTCCCCAAACCTGTATAGACTGTAGTGTAAATTCTAATTGACTCCTCATTCCGAGGCATACAGAATGTGCGATAACCACTTGGCCACCGAATTGTTGTGTAAATACTAAATGCTATTATGTAGTAAAAAGGGCGGTCAGGAACGAAGGCCTTGTTCTCTTTAAATTCTTCTTTGTGCTTCTTTAACTGATGCAGTTAATTTGATTCTGAACGGAAACTCTTAGCCGTCAAATTGACGAGATCTAGAAATTCTGCTTCTTCAGAGATATAGTCAACCTCAATGTTTTCCGTGCGTCGGGTAAGAACAGATATCCGTTGATCCATTTTTGTCAACCTTTCTTCCGTGCAATGAATGATACTTTGAGAATTTAAACAGGAAGGCTCTGCTTCGGAACGACACATATTGACGAACGTGGTATCGTCACAAAATAACTTGAATTCAGCGCGCTTTCTGTTTTCCTGAAACATCTGCATGAAACTTTCACCAATAAAGCGTGCCATTTCAAGCTCTTCGGCACTTTCTTCGGCGTGTGTCTTAGCGTCAGTGTAGGACTCGTTTAATACCGAAACCAACATGTTCATCAGGAAAACCGTCATAGATAGCACGAACAAGAAAAGAAACGCTGGTGCAATAAAGGGCTTTTCATTACGAAGATCGTCAAGTGGGACAGCTTTTCCTAAAAGAAATTCAAACTGCGACATGACTGCTTGGAGGTAGCTTGAATACTGCAGGACTATGCCACCGAATAACTGCATTCCGGATATGACAAAAGCATTAAAGACGATCAAGAAGAAACCAGCGTACGATAGCTGGTAGCCCACGGATTGACGGAATGATGAAAATAAGAAAATAACATAAGGGTTAAAACGGATGAGATTCAAAAGCTTAAGTGTCACAATAAAAATGGCAAAAGCAAGCGAGGCATTTTCCCAGCTTGCCCAGTCTAAGGCCGTGTGAAAATATATAATTTCATATGGATTAGCTTGGATGGCTTTGATGGTATTCAAGACACTCTTCGATCTTATCATGTAGAACGCCACTGACGCTACGGATGAGATTATCATAAAGAGGTCAACCATATTCCAAAAGGACTTGAAAAATCCGAGGCGTTGCCGGTAAAGGTGGAGTAACATCATGATGAAGTTGAAAAGCACCATGGCCATGAATAGAAACTGGCAAATGAGATAGAACATCAGAGATCCTGACTCTGTACTGTATAACTCGAGTGTATCAACCCTCTTTGTAGTGTAGGCAGCCCCAGTAGCGATCACCTCGTAAAAGTAGGTAGCGGTGCTGATCAAATTTGTGTTCACGTTGAAGACTGCGAACTCTAAAATAACCGCTCGAGTCTGGCGATCAACCCATCCGTGACCCAGGGTCTCGGTTGACACGCCAAGGGCAGTATCTTCTTTATATCCCATGACGGCAACGTAGCCACCCCCATCGTATGCACTGTAAGTAGCCCTTATTGGGCCATTGTTTAACTCCTCGGCTGTTTGGTAACGCCATGGTTTTGGACACATCTGTAGAGCTGTAGGCCATGAAGTATTTAAGGGGAGCGGTTTCCAACCTGGAAGACTCAGCAATGTAGTTTCTTCATGTGAAGCGGAATAGTCGTAGTAGCAGTCTGGAATGATCTGACGAGGGGTTTCGCATGGACCTAAAAAGTGTCACGTATAGCAAGGTTAAAAATTTAGACAGAGTATCAAATGGATTGACGATGTTAAACATATGCCTGATTACGTTTAGAGGATACCAAACAAGGGAGATGGTGGATGCTTGCCCTGTCAACTATACAATAAAAAGGTTGATTTCTGCAAGGGGCGTGTGGTTGTAATAAGAAAAATAAAACCATCTAATAAAATTATTTACCATATATGTTAACTTATTTACTATAATGGCTATCAGCATTTCAGCTGTACAAGAATAACTATGGTAACAGTTCTAGAGTTTGCTGGAAGTCGCGATTTACGAGAAACTCAAGAAAAGAACCACAAAAGAACTTTCATCAGCTTTATCGAGTCAAATCCCACTGCACCTGGTATTCGAGCCTGTCTGTGACTATATAGACTATTTCCAAAAAGCATATACTGATTCAAAATGTGCTATGACCGTATGCAATTTTTAATAGAGTTGCCGTAACATTAGTTAAAGGCTTAGAGCCGCAGCTATTAGTTGACCATCTTGGTTTGCATAGCGTGCTACATACTTGCCACTAAGTATACTTCGTAAGATTTAATCTAATGCATTGATTCATTGAACGTGTTGTAATAACGAAAGCCGCTTCATGCTAAAGAAAATGATCGGCGCAAGGTTCCTTCGTGTTCATTAAAGTTACTCAATGAAATATCCAAGAGGCTCTTGTTTGGCTCCACTTAAGAACAACTTTTCTTAAAGGAATATATCTATATAGCTTTCTTTGAGACAGAGCTGTGGATTATAACGAAAAAAAATAATGTTTTGGGGCTTACTTTTCTTTATTCTCAGTTGTCGCATCGAAGGCATGCCAATCATTATGGACATCTTATTCTCAATATACAGATCTGCTTCCTCTTTAAGTCCATTGTACCATGCGCGGTTGTATATGTTTGGCAGGAACTCTTGCCTCAGCCAACCCCATAGTTCGTTTGGTTCAGTTACCTCAAAAACGAGAAAGAGACACATATAGTTAGGTATTCAATTGCTAAATTCATAACTTTTCTACCACCAAATGATTAAACGTTACGCTCTGTTTCAGTGATTTTTATGAAGTACTCAAGGATATCCACGATTAGTTATATATATCTGGTCGGAAAAAAAGGCACAGGAAATGTTAAATGCGGCCAAAGTATTCATTTAAACAGGGACATCTGGCCAACGACAGCGTCGAAAGGTGCCATGGAGATATCCACGATTTCAGTTCAGATGTTGATATAGTAAAAGATAAGGGATTTTTCTCATCGATACTGTGTATTATTTATTGTTTCTGTAAATGGGGAGTATTTAAGTACTATGTAATGAATAATATAACGTAGGTTAGATAGTCAGTCGTCGGTCAGTATGTCTGTCTGTCAGTTAGTCGGTCTGTCGGTCTGTCTGAATGGTCTAGATCTGTCCGACTTTCTGTCAGTCAGTCAGTCAGTCAGTCAGTTAGTCCATACTATTAGAATAGTTACCAGTTCAAACGTCATGAATGGATTTATCATTGTCCTTGTCATCAGGAAACGGCTTCCGTTCTTGTTACCATAACATACGATTGCCAGAAAAAACATGTATATCAAATGAAGGACTATGTCTCTAGTCATGATTGTCAACCGAGTCTCCTTTTTTCTTCGCTTACGTATCGCCTCCAACTTATCTCGTTTAAATTGGGCTTTAGGATTATCGCTTAGAAAATCAATTTCTGTCTTCCAATCATCAGCTCTGTCCCGCTCCGCATCTAGATCTTCACTGGCGTCTTTGTTTCTTGTCAAGAGCAATGAAACTATAACAACAGCGAACATAATCTTTGTTGGCTGTACCACGAAAATGTCCTGACCAGATGATATCAAAATTGATGCGAGCCATTGCTCGGCAATTTCTTTGCCCCACATTAAGCTGTAAAATAAGGTGAACGTTGCAGCCGTAATAGTTGTGACAAAGCAGAGAAACCACCCAAAGTATACACAGAAATGAGGCAACATGCAGCCTGTGTCCCTTATTTCATCCACAAATTGCTGGGCCTGGTCAATGTCTTTATATTTGGCGGCCTTTTTCCTTCTTGGTTTACTAGACTTAAACAGGAGGACAATCAAAATGTTTACAGGTGCAATTATTAGTCCGCTTTGCACTCCGATGACGATTTGTCTCCCAGAAAACTTGAATGGTCCAACCTGTATAGCTCCATCCGATTTGCCACCAAGGTCATAAAACATAGCATTAGCAATCATAGCGCTGAACAACAGTGAAAGACAACACGAGACTCTTTGTACACGGGTGAAAGAACTGCTACATGCTTTACCAAACACTGACATCCACAGGTGACTGTCGGCAATTTTTCTTCCAAACCGTGAACGAACCTGATCTGAAAAGGAATTTGTACTCTTAGTGTTGACAGTAACCTCTATTTCTCCATCATCCTTTTCCACGGCAAGCCATCGATTTATTGAGAACATCCACCTTTGCTCTGTCTGCCGGTCTTTGATGACAACCGTCTCTACAAACCAAGAGGGATTATCTCCTGAATTGTCATGCTCTAATGTTATTTCTTTTAAGGTCCCTAAGGTTTGGCTTGTGACCAGAACAAACCCGTCGATACTTCCTCTTGCAAATAATTCGCTTGATTCTCCTTTGCTCCTAAGTGGAATTAGCTTTTGTTCATTTATTTCGCCTTCTATACTGACGGACACGTTAGCTGTTGTTCCTGAATGTTTCCAAACACCAGTGCTGATAACCATGTCGTAAACGTAGGTTCCTTTTTCGACGACGTTTATACATTTTGGAGGACTAATCTAAAATAAAAGCAAGTCTTTCCTTTACTGGAAGTATAATTTTACTTTTCTTTTGAATTGCTCATTATAACTTTTAGCCAACATAATTTCCCACAGGAAATACTCATTTTAATTAGTAAAACATGTTTTAATTTGGATGTAGCATCATATAGAGAATTGTTTACAGCCTAGAGAAGCATGTTCACTTGGATGAGATCACGTATATGTACATGTTGGACCCCGCTAATTCGAATTCGCTTATTTCGAATTCCTCGCTATTTCGTAATCAAAACCAATTCCCCTTGGATGTGCCCTTTAGTTATTTACTGTCGGCTATTCCGAACTAGTATTCCCGGTATTTCGCTCAATTTTGGTTTTACCCTGTATATAGAGAAATGAAAAAAGGCAGTGGGAACGAATTGGATGTTTTAAGTGCAGATGTTAATTCGACGTTTTTGGCTCTTTGTAGTACTATAGATGTCAATGCAGGCGGCCGGACACCGCGGATATACGTTTTTTGGGGCGCGATACAGTATTTTGCTGGTCAGCGGTACACCCTAACAAAACTACAAAATGCCTGCAACTTTTACATTGT